TTACATCATAAAAATGTTTTTCAAACTTGTTTAAGTCATTAAAAACACTTGGTGTTCGCCCAAACCAAAAACCAAGCCATCCAGTGTTCGGCTTTAAGAAACCAGCGTTCGGCTTTCGGTTGTCGGGTTTGGTTTTTGGCATCCGAACCAACCAAGTGGTTTTCAGCATTTTATGATCTGCTTTCACTCTTTGGCATGTTTAAACGGTTCTCCAACAAAAACACTTTGAAAACCATCTCTCGTTTTTAGTCGTTTGACAAAAACCACTTAAAACGGCGTAAACTTGGCTAGCCGTGGTTTTTACTCAAATGACGTGATTTTTAAAGTGTCTCACTTGATTTCTTAGCCAAATACATCAAATAAGTGTTTTAAACACTTGGTTTGGCTAAGCCGTGGTTAAGGCAAAAACACTTGGTTTCTTAGCCAAATACATCAAATTTCGGTCGGTTTTTGCATCGTTTGGCTAGGCCGTGGTTAAGGCAAAAACCATAGGTTTTTGGCTAACCACCCACCCAGCGATGGGAAGAACATCCCATCGATGGGTAAGTAGCCCCTTAGCCAAACCAACTTCCAGAACCATGCCAAAAAGCGATGGGAAGCTCTACCCATCGCTGTTCAAGCCTTGGTCCAACATTATCACAAGGCAGAATGCCCTTACCCAGCGATGGGAAGCTTTACCCATCGATGGGAACCCAGCGATGGAAAGGCTAAACCATCAATGGGAAGGCATGACTGTTGGAAGTCATTTAAGGTTGATTCTTTCCTTGTTTGGAAGTCAACCTCCAACCCAGCGATGGGAAGCTTGTACCCATTGATGGGTAGGTAACCGTTGGCTTCAAAACTGAAGGAAAATTGGCTTACCAGCGATGGGTAAGTCCCTAACATCGATGGGAAGCCAATATCCTGCAGATCCCAAATCTTTTCAATCCCATAAGTCAAGCCAATCATCCCTTAAATGTATTGGTCTGTTGGAGCCTTTTTTGGCACTATAAAAAGGGGTGTTTGGGTCTGTTTTACACATCAATTCACTTCACAATATTCATATCATCATTGCATTTGATGGTGTAAATTACTTGACCGGTCAAACTATGCTAGACCGGGTCTAGAATAGTTTGTTCGATTTGGCAAAGTAATAAAGGTAAAAACACGCAGATCGACCGGTAGGACTTTTAGGTGGAACACCTGTAGCCCAATTTGTATTATAACGGAGAATGCACGGGTGCTTTTACAAGGGAGTTTAGAGGAAATGAATTCGGATCCCTCTTTTTGAGGTTTACATGAGTATTTATACTAGGCTAAGGGGAAAGGACCACGTGCGCCCACGTGGGGGCATGCTCCTGATGTGGTGCGAGGTGACTGGTTTCGTCCTCGAGCTGCCTTGTCGCCTTGTGAGGGGGATCATTCCCTTTGTCGAGTAGCGCCTTGGATGGATTCTTCAGCATCTCCAGTTGTCTTCTACTGACACGCGTCGCTACACGCCAAGCCCTCGCAGATCCTCCACTGCCGACACTTTCCAACCCTAGAAACTACACCGGGTAATCTCCGAGGGATGAATTTATCGAAGTCTGGAATAAATAGGATGATAACGTAGTTTGACCGGTATACTTTTTTGTGAAGTGTACCGGTCATATTTTGGCCGATGATATATCGTTTTGCTGACGATTTAAGTATCCCTTCCAAAACTTTCGAGATTGACCGGTCAAAGATTTGGCCTTCTCCTTTGACTGGTCTTGGGTGAAATACACCCATCAATAAGCCCTCCACTTCTCGGTCATGCAATTTGTCATGAGCGGGAAGTAAATAGGACTCCAATTTTGAAATTTTGGCCCTTCCCGCCTAAAATTTTTGAAATTTGAATTTCAAACTCTGACTTTTGCCACGTGTCGCGCATCAACCGTTGCAATCAGTCGGCTGCAGACCTGCCGTTTCGCCTGCCAGTGGGTCATCATTGCGCCGCCTGACGCGGCGCAACCTGGAGAGGCCACGTCACCTCTTTCAGCCCTCCTCTTCCTATATAAGGGCCTCCACCCCTCCTCTCTGCTCACTTTCCGCGATCAAGTCTCAGAGCTTTCACCGGTCAAGTTCCTTCTCTTTCGCTATCCAGCCCTCCGAGCCAAGTAAGTTTCCTTCCTTCTCTACTTTCCCGGTCATGTCTTCTTTTAGTGATAGGATCTCTTCTTCAGAGGACTGCTCCTCTGAGGACTCCAACTCCTCTTCCTCGACCGGGTCTTCTTCTCTTGACTCTACGCCCGGTCAGGTTCCCAACTCCTCCATTCCCGACCCGCATCCTGTAAATCAGGTGCCCGGTGAAACTTTCGTGGGGAGGGATGACCCGGTCAATGACGAACCGGGCCCCTATGACCCTGAACATGAAACCCGGGATGCATGGGAGGAGCGGCTTCATGCTGCCGGTTACTTTCCACTCCCCACCTTCTACGTCCTTGACATACCTTCCCGTGTATCTAAAATTGCCTTAAACAAAATCCGTAGGAGGCTCCCGGATGGGTATACCCTCCTGTACGAACCGAACTGGCCCAACATTGTTAAACCCCACCGGGAGGATAGGATAGGGTTCCATACCATTTCCCTGGATGCGGGCATAGTTTTTCCCCTTCGCCCCCTCCTTACTAAAGTCTGCCACGCGTTTAGGATTTTGCCCGGCCAAATAACTCCTAACGCCCACCGGTACCTCCATTCCTTCGTAAATATTTGTACTCATCTGAAAATTTTTCCCTCTTTGCGTCTTTTCCTTTTCTGTTTCGAAGTCCTACCGGGCGGATCCGGCTGCGAAGGTTTTGTATTCTTCAAAGCCCGCACCGGTAGGAAGTTCATTTCCGAAGTCCCCCAGAGTAATCGGGGATGGAAGGAAAAGTTTGTTTTCATCGAGTTTCCTCCCTTCTTCACTCCTCTGGCCGGTCTGAAATGGAATGACCATCTACTCGACCAAGAGTATGCTGCACCGGCCTCCTCCCCAGACTTGGAAGCTAACCTCGAGATCCTCATGCGCGGGGATCCTCAAACCGGGAGGATCTTCCATCAAGGCAGCTGGGTTTGGAGGGTAGAGTCGGGTGGTGAGGGTACCTCCCAGGCCCAGGAAGCAGCGGGGCGCGGGGTACCCTCCCCGGGCAACACTGTAGAGGCCGAGGGCCAGAACCACCCAGGTATTTTTCACTTTTCTTGTGTTTCGTAGTTTGACCGGGCAAACTATTTGTACTTAATGTTTTTAGTTTGTTTTGCAGATATGGAGTTTTAAGAGTTCGCTATCCCCGAGGACCAACCAGCGGGGGAGACCGGGGGCTCCCAAACCAACACTGCCAGGACCTTCCCGGTCAATCCAGAGACCGTGGAAATCCTTGACGAAGAGAAGCCCCAAGAAGACCGGTCTAAGGGGAAAGAGAAGGAGAAGGCCGGTCGCCGGGTGAAGAAGGTGGCCACCACGCACCCTTCCTATGCCAAGAAGAGGGCAAGGTCAGATCCTGAGCCGGCCGGCCAGACCATCGAAGAGGCCTTCGTCAACTTGGGGATGAGGCTGAAGGAGGTAAGTTCTGCTGCTATCCTGGTCTTGATCACTTTTCGCTATTATTCCATTCTTACCGGGCTTCTTTTTCCTTTTGTGCAGGCGCGGGAGATTAGACCCCTCACATCCGACCGGCTTGGTTTAGGCTCTCCCTCGGAGTTTGCCTGGCTCAAGAAGGAGAAGGAGGAGATGGCCCTCATCTTGAGGAGCCAGGCTGACGAGCTGATCAGGCTGTCTGGGCTAGCCGGGGCCCTGAAGACCGAGATCTCACAGCTGAAGGAGGAGAATGGCCGGCTAATGGATGAAGTCTCTGAGGCCCAGAGGGAAGCAGCGGAGAAGGAAGAAACCTTCCCCGGGCGCGCTGTCGCCTGGGTTGAAGAGAACAAGGCCGTTGCTGCCCGGGTGATGACGGCGACTCCAGAGACGACGATGGAGTCCTTCAGGCTTCTGTACCGGGACGTAGAACTTTCGAAGTTGTAGATGGAAACACCTGTAACCTTCCGATGGACGTAGAACTTTCGAAGTTCTGTCGTGCCCATACCCGACCGGGGTATTCCTTTTTTTTTATCGGTAGGTTGTAGATGGAAACACCTGTAACCTAGAAATTCTTGAAGTATCCTTAACTGGTAAGAATACTGGAGATTTAACCATGTCGAATGGTTTCGAACCCTCTCCAAGGTTCAAATGCACCCTTCTTCCAGGGCCCCCTCTTCCGGGTGATTAAGTCTTTTAATGGCCCTTTGATTTCTACCATCCCGGGAAGGCCTTAGCTCACCCCCCGTTCAAGTCTTCCCTGAGAAGGGGGATATAGGATGCGCCACGGTGGACGATCCCCTTCTATTTCTTTTAATGGGCATCTTTTAGTCCCCAATCAATTTGACGGCGCCGGCTGATTCCCCGACACCAGTCAAACCTCATGGGCCCGTGTAAGTATGGTTCGAACCCTCTTCCAGGTCCAGCCCTCTTGCAGGCATACCCTCTTCCGGGCCCCTCTTCCGGGTTTTGATATTTTTTCTATTATACTGAGCAAGACCGGTGTAGTAACCAGCGTGCCAGGTCCGGGCCTGTGTCTCAGTTGGCTTATCCAAGTGGATTCGATCCACTCAGAAAGCCCTCCTAGGATAGGTTCGACCTATCAATCCTGCCGCTACCAAATAGAGTATTGAACATCATCGGTTTGATTGATAATAAAGTAAGCCTTGCCCAGTATTACAATCATTTGTAGAACTTGCGAAGATGATGGGAATTCCAGGTTCTTTCTACCGGTACCCCTTCAAGAGTTTCTAACCGGTAGGTCCCCGGGCGAATGATGGCTCTAACCCTATATGGGCCTTCCCAGTTTTTTGCTAGTTTTCCTCCGTCGCCGGGTCTACTTGCTTCTCTTCTTCGTAGGACTTCATCCCCAACTTGGAAGTACCGCGGCCCAACCTTGTTGTCATGGTACTTCTTCACAACTTGTTGGTATGTGCTCATTTTGACTTCCGCGGCCATTCTCCGCTCTTCGACCAAGTTGAGTTCGGCCAAGTGGTCTTCCTCATTCTGCTGGGGTTGATAGTTTGATTCCCGGAACGTTGGGAATTCAGCTTCGATGGGCAGCCTTGCTTCACACCCATAGGTTAGGGAGAATGGAGTCTCCCCATGAGCTCTCCTGGGTGTTACCCGGAATGCCCATACGATGTGTGGGAGCTCTTCCAGCCACTTGTTTCCTGCTTCTCCCAACCACTTCTTCAAACCATCTACAATAGTTCTGTTGGCGTTTTCGACTTGGCCATTTCCTTGGGGGTACGCCACCGAAGAGCGATTGTGCTTGATCCCGAAGCCCTCCAAGTATTCAGTGAATCTTGGATTTCGGAATTGTGGGCCGTTATCGGTGATGAGGTTCATGGGCGCTCCAAACCTTGTGATGATGTTCTTCCAAATGAATTTCTTGCATTGTTGCGTGGTAATGTTGGCCAATGCTTCGGCCTCGATCCATTTGGTGAAGTAATCGATGGCTACGATCACGAACTTCTTCCCTCCTTAGGCGACTGGGAATGCTCCAATGATATCAACCCCGAACCTAGCGAATGGGATGACATTCGATACGGGGTGATAGTAGGTTGCTGGTCTACCGGGGTACTTGTAGAACACTTGACATGTTCTACATTTCTGTACATACCTCTCACAATCCTGGACAATTGTTGGCCAGTATAACCCCAACAAGATAATGCGCTGGGAAAGCGTACGGGACATTTGATGCGCCACGCATACGCCTTCGTGGCCTTCCGCTATGACTCGTTTAGCCTCCCGGTTGGTCAAGCATCTCAGGAGTGGCCCCCCAAACGCCCTTTTATACAGCTTTCCATCAAGAATTTGGAATCGGGGCGCCCTGAGCTTCACTTTTCTTGCCCGGTCATCTTGTTCTGGCAAGCTCCCATCTGCCAAATATTCCATTAGATCATACATCCAATGGTCGTCCGCCCCGACCAAGTTTGACCGGTCAAACTGGCTTCCGGCCGTTATAGCGGCGACTTCCAATTTCTTGATGCTTGCACGGTCAAGGATCTCTACCCGGGCAAGTTTCGAAACATGCTCGGGAGCATACTGCGTCAATTTGGAGAGAAGGTCTGCATCCGCGTTCTCCGCCCGGGGAATTTGGGCGATCTTGAATTCTTCGAAGCCTTTCAACAGGGCAAGTACAAGGTCTTTGTATTGTGCCATGCGTCCTTCCCTTGCTTCCATGTTACCGGTCACCTGCCCTACTATCAGGCTAGAGTCAGATTTGATACTGACCCGGCTGATTTTCAGGGCTTGGGCAAGTCTGAGCCCTCCAGCNTCCCTTTGTGATCTCTTGGGAGATGACATTGACCCCCCTGGTCATTTTCTTGACTGCCCGGGCATAGCACTCCCGGGCGTTCCTCTGGTCGCCCTTCACCTCACCCACACCACCTGGAGTGTGGAACTTCATGCATAGATGAGGCATGGAAATCACCGCCCCGACTTTATTGATGCCTGGCCTTCCAAGAATTGCGTTGTGGACGCATTTGATGTCCACAACTATGAACCGCATCTTCTTCCACACGGTCTTTTCACCTGATCCTAGTTCGACCGGTAGAACTATGGATCCTTCAGCTTCAACGGTGTCCCCCGTGAAGCCTGAGAGAGGGGTTTCGAGGGGTTCAAGTTGTGTTGGACACAACCTGAGTTTTTGGAAGGTCTCCAGGTATAAGATGTTGACACTGCTGCCGGTGTCAACAAGTACCCGGGCGACATCCACCCCATTAATGTCCATGGTGATGACCAATGGATCATTGTGATCTTCACCGGTAGGAGGGAGATCCCGGTCAGTAAAGACGATCGGCTCCCTCTTAGTATGTTTACGCCTGGGCGGTTCAGCACTTACTTCTCCCACGTAAATGCTCCGGACCCAGTTCTTCCGCTGTGCGGCTGAATCTCCGCCCTCGGGCCCGCCGAAGATCATGCCGATGTGTTCTTTTTCGGGGGCAGGTTGCCGCTCTCTTGGCCGGTTATTCCTCCGCCGGTCATTGTCCCGGTCATTCCCTGGGGCAGCTGGCCTAACCCATTGATGACTCTTCTCCTGGGCTTTCTGCAAGTAATCTTTGCCCAGCTCTCCGCTATCGATCATCTGCCGGATGACCCCCTTAACACTTTTACATTCGGAGATGTTATGGGAATCTGACCTGTGGTATGAACAATAGGTGCCCGACCACTGCCGCCCTACTTGACCGGTAGGGTTTTCTGGAGGAATGACCGGTGCTTTCCGGACTTCTTGGCATTCTTCTGTATTGACAACTCGGATGACCGGGTCATAGTGGTGCCTCGGCCGGCTAGGTCCCGGTGCTTCTTCCTTCTTGACTTGCACTGGCTTGGGCTTGTGACCATGCTCAGCTTCCCTCTTTGCCCGGAGTTGAGTTTCAGCCTCAGCAAACTCCCACGCAGTATGGTAGGTCTCTTGGTACGTGGCTGGGGGTTTCCGGCAGAACTCCTTGTATAATTCCCCAACGCGCAAGCCATTCAAGAGGAGGGAGAGGACGGTCTTGTCATCCATCTCTTCCACCTTGTCCACCTCTTCCTTCCACCGGGTAAGGAACTGAGTAAGGTTCTCAGACTCCCTCTGCCCGGCTGTACTAAGATAGGTGGATTTCTTCCTCTTAGTACAATTCTCCTGGAACTTGGCCTTGAATTTCGAGGCCAAATCACTGAACGAGTCAATGCTTCCCGGGCGAAGCTTATTGAACCATTCAGTGGCTCGGTTCCGCAAGGTCTGGAAGAAAAGTAGGCACTTTTCTTCATCGGTGCAACCGTTCATGGTCGCACTCTGGTTGAAGGAGTCCAGGTGGATTTCCGGATCTTCCTTCCCGGTGAATCTGGGGGAATCCACCTTAACCTTTCGCGGGAAAGGTGTCAAATGGACCCTTGTGGTGAACGGGGACCCCGCCACGGGTTTGTCCCGGTCATTCTTCTCTCCGACCTTCTTTTCCCGCCTTTCCAGCTTTGCCTCCATCTGCTGGACGCGGTCATTTAAGATGGTCAACCGGTTCGCCACCGGTAACCTGGGTTGGCTTTCTGTTTCCTCCTCCTAACGAGAAGCCCTCGTCCTTACTGGCTCCTGCCGGTTAGACCGGGAGCGCCGGGTGCGGGTAGGCTCGGCCTCCCGTACCTCGCCTAGCCGGGCGAACGCGCTGACATGGGCAACGCTCTGCCCCAGCCTTTGCTTGGCTGACTTCCTCTGGCCTTCCTCCCTATCCCCCAGCCTTTCGAAGGCGGAGTTTCGGGAGGTCGCTGGCCGGATGTTTTTTCCTTTCTTCTTCTTGTGGGCCCTCGGGATGTCCCACTCACCGTCATCACTCTCAATCGAGACGCAATGACCATCAGGAGTGATCTGCGGATTCGTAGTTTGCGGGGGACGCGACGGCCCTGCGGCGTTAAGTGCGCCAGTCAAGTTGACAGGGGCCATGGTGCTTACCAGCTGGGGCTGGAAAGGTGATGGCTGCGGAATCGGCGTCTGGAACGACGTCACCGCCATCGGAGCTTGTAGGGGCATGGTCCCCGCGCCTGGAAGGGCGAATGGGAACATACCAGGGAGGAAAGGCATCCCCCCGTTCTGCTGGCACATGGCCATAACCTGGCCAAAGCCCTGGATGGCTTGTAGGTTGGCTGGGTCGTTCATGAACTGAGCCATGCTTGGTGGGAACGTGACCCTCGGTCTAGCGGAAGGGTTGGGGGTCGCGAAGGGACTGATCACGCTGGCCGTCGGGACAGAGCTCAGACCCAGAGGCAACACCGGGGCTGAAATGACCGGTATGGTAGCAGCCACAGGGATGCTGGCGCCCTCATTGGTGGCTTGCACCTGTGCGGAAGTAGCGTTGATTTGTTGATTGGAAGACATTTCGAGTGGTGTTTTGGTGGGTAGGTTTGTGTTTAGGAGAAGAAACCTTAACGGTCCCACGGGTGGCGATAAAAATGATGGTGTAAATTACTTGACCGGTCAAACTATGCTAGACCGGGTCTAGAATAGTTTGTTCGATTTGGCAAAGTAATAAAGGTAAAAACACGCAGATCGACCGGTAGGACTTTTAGGTGGAACACCTGTAGCCCAATTTGTATTATAACGGAGAATGCACGGGTGCTTTTACAAGGGAGTTTAGAGGAAATGAATTCGGATCCCTCTTTTTGAGGTTTACATGAGTATTTATACTAGGCTAAGGGGACAGGACCACGTGCGCCCACGTGGGGGCATGCTGCTGATGTGGTGGGAGGTGACTGGTTTCGTCCTCGAGCTGCCTTGTCGCCTTGTGAGGGGGATCATTCCCTTTGTCGAGTAGCGCCTTGGATGGATTCTTCAGCATCTCCAGTTGTCTTCTACTGACACGGGTCGCTACACGCCAAGCCCTCGCAGATCCTCCACTGCCGACACTTTCCAACCCCAGAAACTACACCAGGTAATCTCCGAGGGATGAATTTATCGAAGTCTGGAATAAATAGGATGATAACGTAGTTTGACCGGTATACTTTTTTGTGAACTGTACCGGTCATATTTTGGCCGATGATATATCGTTTTGCTGACGATTTAAGTATCCCTTCCAAAACTTTCGAGATTGACCGGTCAAAGATTTGGCCTTCTCCTTTGACCGGTCTTGGGTGAAATACACCCATCAGCATTAAAACAACATCATTTTTCATAGCTTTCAAGAGCCAATTTGTGAAGTTTGAGTTGTTCTTGAGCGTACTTAGTTACTCATAATCTACTCTATAAGAGAGCCTCGTTCTTGAGTGTATTCGTGTTCTTAGACACTTTGAGAGAAAGTATTTCTCTCAGTAGATTCAAAGGAAGGGCTGTTTCCTTTGAAGGACTCGTTGAGGTTCGTGTAACTCGAACTCTCAAGTTGTAACGGTTTGTTAAGCACCCGCAAGCTTAACGAGATAGTAGTGTAGCTCGAGAGAGTCTCTCGGGAGGCTAGATTAGCCACAAGTTGTGGTGAACCAGGGTAAAATTCGGTGTGCCTCTTACTCTTCTCTTTACTTCTCTTTTAAGTTTTTAATTCCTGCGATTTCTACGATCAAACGCTATTCACCCCCCCTCTAGCGTTGGTCTTTTATTCTAACAATTGGTGTCGGAGCCTAACTCGCATCTAAACTTAACCATTTGAGAGTAAAGCGATCATGGATTCTTCTTCTAGAAATCTTTATGCAGGAATTGGAGAAGGTCAATCAACATCTAGGCCACCGCTTTTTGATGGCACCAACTACACATATTGGAAAGAGCGGATGAGAATTTATATCCGCTCAACCAACTTCCAGTTGTGGTTGGTCATCAAAAACGGCGAAGAAACGCCAATGAAGAAGGTAAATGAAAAACTTGTCCCAAAGACCGAAGACGAATTTGATGCCGAAGACATCAAGAAGGTGGAGAACTACGCCAAGGCAATCAACATGCTGTACTGTGCGGTCAATCCTGATGATTATCGCAAGATCTCTTGCTGCACCACTGCAAAAGAAATGTGGGACAAGCTGGAAGTCACATATGAAGGTACGGACCAAGTTCGGGAAGCCAAAATTGACTTCCTAA